TGTGCTCCTACGTTACAACACATCGCTATCAAGCTGCTTAACAAATATGAAGCCACTCTGTTCGGTAGTACATAAGTAAAGTCATTCAGCGTGACGGAAAATGTGTCGGACGAACGGACGGACAGATACAGTTACAAGTAATACAATAAAATCCCCACTTCTATAGATCGGGTATAATTAAGATCAATCAAGGCGTCCGCGTTGCTTAGCAGGATGTATCAGTACTCAGCTGCGTCCGTTTGATTGCTGAAATTAAATACGACGCCCTGTGAAGAGAAAATGCACGTTAAAGAACCGTCGTATCCCGGTCGACCAATTTTACAGAACCTTCATATTGGATTTATTTTAATTTGCTCTCGTCCTGACATGATTTGCATGAGTGGGAGGGGGAGGGTTTGGCGCCAGCAAACTAGTTAAACCCCGGCACATTCTGTGTGTGCCTGTCCCAAGTCAGGAGCCTGTGATTCAGTGGTTGTCGTTGGTTGCTGTTTCTCATATTTGTTTTTCGTTTATTGTATTGTACATAAATCAGGCCGTTAGTTTTTTCGTTTGAATTGTTTTACATTTGTCATTTCGGGGCCTTTTATAGCGGACTATGCGGTATGGGTTTTGATCTTTGTTGAAGGCCATACGGTGACCTATAGTTGTTAACTTCTATGTCATTTGGTCTCTGGTGGAGAGTTGTCTCATTGGCAATCATACCACATCTTATTTTTATATGACATTTTGGACACTGAACATTAACCACTGATCAATCATATGACATTTGTAATAATATATCAGACGAATATTAACATTTCATAGGCATACCGGGGTAGTTTGACCTGATTTATTACCAAGGCAGGATGTCTGGGGGTAACACACCTGCAGCTTTCCGTGTTTTGCAAATTGAATAGTACAAATTGTGATATAAGGGGACTTTATGAAAAACACGATACATCCCTTCTTTTCGATTACATTGACAGAGTTGGTATTTAAGCTGTGAAAAATTTCCTTGCTTGATGCATATGATTTCATACATTTACAATAAAACCTAGTACCAGCAAGCAGATGAAAAACAAAGAAAACAAAACTTTGGCACAATCTGCGCTTTTCTAGATTTACCAAGAACGCTCCAACTTAACATAACTTTAACATTTGAAAGCCAAGGATGTGTAAATAAGTAGAAACGATAGGAGCTATATGACAAAAGTTAAATTTTGCCCGATACAAAAAATTACCACTTCCCAATTCGAATCATTGCTTTAAACTGAAGTTAATGTATTTTGTTGGATAGTTATTTCTCGACTGTTTCTGTTGGAGAGTATCCTTCGTGATTGTAAATTACGAAGAGTATGCATAACCATTATATACATGGTGTTAATGCAAATAAAATTTTAAAAATCCCGATATTAAAGAATTCCACTACAGGTGCAAAGCATCGAATCTACCATTACAACAAGCATTAAATTTGTCTAAATTGGGGCGCTTTTACATTTCTACAGCCGATTTGCGTTGAAGTAGAACTGGGCTTGGATGACGCATAATGTCACTCGTTTGTCTGTTACTCGGTTTCCGGTCAAAATCTTTGGAGCAATAAACCAAACTTGATAATCCCCTATGAATAGAGGAAGACCCCTATGATACTTTGGTCAAGACAACAACAGCCATTCATAGACTCAAATTCTAGCACAATTTTGGTTTCCATGATGTTATCTTTTTTACTGTTTGTCCAAGTTTAACTATAATCAACCGTTTTGGGGTCTCGTTGTAGCGTTTCGCCTCGAGTGCAGGAGGCCGTGGGTTCGAACCCCGGCCGTGTCAAACCAAAGACTGTAAAATTGGTATTTGCTGCTTCTCCGCTAAGTACGCGGCTTTAAGGAGTAAGAGCAAAGACTGGTCGGCTGGGAGTCAGAATAATGTACCCGGGCAGAGCGATATGTCTTCCCGAGGACTGTTGCCTTGTGAACTAGCACGTTAAAAATCCGACTCAGTATATCAGTCTAGTACAAAGCAGGGTTGCTATTCATATCACACTGACATGTTATCGTCCTAAATAGGCATTTAATTTGCCACTGGACGTTAAACAGCCATCAATATATTTATCCAACTACATGTATTACCATACATGGATTCATTACAAGTATGTTTTTTAAATAAGGCGTGGAACTATTGATTTTTGGACCAACAGATTAAAGTTCAAGGTCACATCAGCTTTAGAACACTTAAATTTTAGCAATTTTTTTGTTTCTGGATGCTATCATTAAACAACTTTTACCAAACTTGGTTTGTTAATGCATCATGTATGGAAAAGACCTATGTTTATCATAGAGTCAATATGTCAAATTCAAGGTCTGAGCAGCTATTGGTAGAATATTAGGGTAAAAGTTAAGTTTCCACATTTTGTTTTTTACCATATGTCCAACTTTTGTCAAATTTAAATCGGATGACAAACACCCCTTTGATTACGTATGAGGTTACTTGGTCAAAATTTAAGATAAAACAGCAATTTATTCATTGATATTTACGCAAAAATGTGTTGTCTTTTGAATCATTTGTCTAAAATTCACCAAACGTAGCTAGAGAATGTCACTTCGAAAGAAGAAAAACCATTTTGATTTTTTAGTCAATATTCTAAATTAAGATCACTATACCTATGACTATACTGAAGTTTGGGAACATATTTTTGGGACAATATCTTTGGAGCCATTATTAAGATAATCCTGATCTTTTATATGTCTGCTCCTTAAGGTGAAAAAGACCTAATAGTATATGGATTTTAGGTTAGCGTCAACGGCCAAGGTTACAACAAAAGTTAATAGTCTTCATTCTACTTCACACAACCATCCGAAGAGATCATAACTAGGCTTATGTACAATGGTGCTACCGGAATTTTTATACTTGTGGACATGCATTATTGCAAACCTGTTTAACATGATCAGTAGGATAGGATCTACAAATAAATAAAATGGTAGAAATCGTAAGTCGACTCCTTGAACGAGTTTTTGCCCTTGAATAAGGATTTTTACCTATTTTTTGCGGAAACTATGTTTTGTAGATACTAGTAAACTGTAAATAGCAAAATTGATTAACAGAACAAAATCTACAAATAAGTCCCCATGGCCAAAATCGCCAGTCGACTCCTTGTAGGGGTAATTGTCATTGAAAGATGAAATTTGACCCATATACATGTTTTTTTTAGCGGAAAATGTAGTAGTTAGAAAGAAACTATAAATAGCAAAAAAGTATCAGAAGGATGAGATTTTCAATCAAGTCAACAAGACCAACACTGCCAGTCACTTCCTTATAGGAGTAACTGCCCTTTGATTTTCTACCACAGGAATAGATTACCTAAACTGACGAAATCTTTCGAAACTTTGGGTTCCAATGCTCTTCAACTTCGTACCTTTTTTGGCTTTTTATTTCTTTTGATTCGAGCGTCACTGATGAGTCTTTTGTAGACAGACGTACACAATTATAAGTGGTATCTTTGATGAGTTTTTTGATATAAAAATAAGAAGATGTGGTATGATTGCCAATGAGACAACTCTCCACAAGAGACCAAATGACATAGACATTAACAACTAATGTTTATATTTCCCATCTTTAGCTTACCTGGCCCAAGAGCTATTGCTATCACTTGGCGCCCGTCGTTTGTCGTTTGTCGTCGTCCGTCGTCCGTTAATTTCCACAAAAATCTTCTCATCAGAATCTACTTGGCCAAAATGAAACCAAACATTACCATAATCATCCTTGGGGTATCTAGTTAAATAATATGTCCGGTGATATAGCATTCCAACCAGCACGGCAACCAAGGCTAAGCATAGTACATAAGGGTAATTTAAGTATAGTCCATTATCTTCTTAACCGTTACAACAGATAAAAAAAAAATTGACATGGGCAGAAATGTTCAGAACGATCCGTCTAATTAGACCAAAACTGTCAGATGACTCCTTATAGGAGTTTTTGTCCTTAAATTATGATTCTTTGCTATTTTGTGCAATGGGCAGAAACTATTATTAGTCGAAGAACGAGAAACTTCAAACAGCAAAAATAAACAGCAAGACAAGATCTACAACTAAGTCACACAGTTGAAGTTGTCAGTCCATACCTTATTGGAGTTATCGCCGATCATCGCCCTTAAATCATGATGATTTTTTACCCCTTTTACATTTTGGGAAAAGAAAGCTATGGTGGAGAGAAACTAGAAAAATTATCAACAAAAAAGACAATTTAAGTCATGAATTATGTTCTAGTCTATTATGTTGGAGAGTGGGCCATTAGTGGAGATGCACATATACTCATGTCAGCGATACAGCTGCCCTTTAGACCCTCTAGTTGGTTTTTTTTTGTCTGGAAACTATAGTAAACAGAGAAAAACTGTAAATGACAAAAATGATAAGGAGATCAAGATCTACAAATGAGTGAACATTGACGAAATACTCATTCAACTCCTTATAGGAGTTATTGCCCATGAATGATGATTTTGTATTAATTTTGTGTTTTATTGCGGAAACGATATAGTAATATAGAGAACCTCGATCAGAGAGAAACTAAATAACCATGATAATCAGAAAAATAAGATTTATAAATAAGACAGAAGGGAGACAATCATCAGAATTTCCACTCCTTATAGGAATTTTTGTCCTTGAATGGTGATTTTAGTCATCTTTTTCTTCATTGCCAGAAACTAATGACATTTTCTTATTGCATTGTACCAATTTCAATTTATTCTAACGGGTAAGGTGATCAAAACAGGTGTTTGGAGCCTCTAGTTAGGCATTTTGATGTTTCATTTCATATTATACTAGTTAACAAAAGTAACAATCCACATGTCTGAACTCAAATTTATCATAAAATACGATTATAAGGAAAACTGTTAACCCATCCAATGAAAAACATTCCCTACAAATCAAATGCATATGATTAAGAAAATATGATCTAGTTGGAAAGTGATATAATACCGTGTTATTTAACACATTTGTCAAATTTAGCAACAAATTCATGTATCATCATTATATTTATTGGCAAACTTTGAGTGTACTGGGTACCGTTGGATTGTTGTTGGTGTAGATTTTAACAAGAAGATTATACAGCCAGATATCATGTTTTTTCAACCACGCTCTATTTTCCATCTCTGTACCACACAGATGATTGAAGTTGCAACTGAAAAAGAGTGAATGATATTGTTGTTACTATCGGATACATACAATTAGATCTTAGATAACTTTTTCAGAAAGCACGGTTCAAAATAATAGAATTATCATACAGCAACATAAATATAATTTTCCAAAGAATAAATGATCATAATTCTAATATCATTAAAAGTAATCATTATTTAGCCCTGTTAACATTATTCGATATTTGGACTATTATGCACCCAATTTTCAAGACCCACTTAACATGCTGAAGCCAACATAGAAGATTCAAAATAATGACATTAATTCAAACAGCATCTTACTTGTTCATTCCCACTGCAGGATCGGCACCAGTGCGGATTATTGTATGGAAGAATGAAGATGTAGCCTCGCCCCAATACTCAGCAGAATTTGCCGTACCATATCCATGCTGCCAGGTACCATGTTGTTTTATGTAGTTATATACATATTTCAACTGTAAAATAATTATTTGACATAAAATTGTAGTTGAGACACAACACCATGCATTTACATTCAAGTTTGCATCAGGGGCTTTATATCTTAGTTTCAGTAAAACAATTACAATAACTATCAGCCAATGGCAGATTCAAACGTTGCGCCACCTTTATTTAAATCGAAAAAACCCATAATGTTTGGCATAGAACGCGTCAAAATTTGTAAAGTCACACCCTATCTAACATAAAACCATTTATCCGCGCCTGTAAATTGAGAAAATTTAAATTTTTATAAAATGGAGTGGAGGCATTAAGATCCAATTTTGGCCAAAGAAACCGAAGTTTTTAAGAACTACTTAAAATTTTCACACAATGTAGAGAAAATTCATGAAATCGAAAACATATAAAGGACCTAGACAAAGATATCATTCTTTCGACGTCATGATGAGATCATTCATGATAAATTATGCATGTATTCCACTAAAATGATGAAAAATGACGATTCATTCATATTCAATTTGCGGAAAGTTCGCGCGAATCAAGGAAATTACAAACTAATTTTAAATGAGTTTTGTTATATCTTTTTACATAATCTCAACATATTATAAAGTTGTTTCTTTTGTGTGCACATACTTATTCAGTCGACAATATAATGAAATATTGATACAAAACAAATAAAGAAAAAAAAAAAAAGAAAAAAAAAAGAACGAAATATACTAATTTCGTCTCGTCATGGTTTATTGACATGAATGATAACTCGTCAAATAAGATTTTTTTTAATGTTCTAAAAAAGTTTTACCTAAGTCATATTCAAACAAAAAAAGTTCATGTTACTTAAATTTGACCCTTTGGGCCAGCTTTGGCCCTTATTGTCCTTTTCCTTCATTTCAGTTTCAGAAATGGACTACTGCTAGGATATATAATAAATTACAAACTGAAATATATATACACTTTATCAAGGGATTCATATATCTGTTGCTTAATTATGGAAACGGAAGTGGTATCAACTAACAGAATAATTAAAAAATGGATGAAATTTAAAACTGATTTCAAAGATACTAGTATTAGATTTTAAAACAATTGCATTGGTTGAACAGAGGCGATTTTGTAAAGGAACCCATACTATTTTCTTGGAGTCAAAATGATTTGTTAAGGAACAAAATAAAAATATGACTTATCACATGAATACCATATGACATATTATATTATTATAGTATGTTAATATGAATTAATATGAATAAAAGAGATGCGTTGTAAACGTCAATAAGACAGAGAACAACCGACGAAAAGAACTAAAAGACACGTCTTACAATTGTTAATGATTTAAATTTTGTGTTAGTCTTTAAATTTTAATAACACTTGAAGGGTGAGAAGTAAAGGTGTATTTCATAACTGAAATGAGTAACACTTCGTTATATCTCACAAACTCAGTAGTCTCCATTTTAGCACAATTTCACCTATCAATAATTACCCTGTCTCTATCTACTCGTGGCATGTATTTATCAACTAAGTGGGCAAATTCGTGGACCAAGATATTTTCTTTGTGCCCGTAAGGATCATGGGAGTTACATAGCACATTATCTTCCAAAACAACAGCTCTTGAATTGGTCAGACCAGCAATTGAATCATACTTTCGCCCGTCGAATGTACAGGTATGTTTACATGAACCATCACATTTGTCTACAAAATGTTTAAAACAGCATATCAACAATAACAAAGAATCATATGCATTGATACAAATATTTTCTAACTATATGCAGTACTGAGACATGGACGATTGTTTCACCTAATATCCCTTAATTCAGTACCAACCTAATTTTGAATCGGCCTTTGCTTCATTTAGGCCGTTTTGTATGTCAACTTTTTCTCTTAATTATAATTTCAGATTTTTTCACTGTTTTATGTTAGGTCATTATCATACACATTAAAATATACCACTGTATTCCAGTTAAAGGCCAGTTCTGAAGGGAGGGCTAGGATGAAATTTGAAAAAAAGGCAGGACAGGAGTTTTTAGTAAAAAAAAAGGCAGAATGAGCAACTTGGAAAAAAAATGGCAGGATGACAATTTATGTAAAAAATGTCAGGATAAACTAATAAAAAAACTGGCAGGACCGAAAAGAGTGAAAAATAAAAAGGCAGGACAGAGATTACAACTGAAAAAAAATAAATGCTGGACAAAATTTTTCATCCTAGCCCCCCAATAAAAATCAAATGGTAGCTCCCTAACTGCAGTTCATTTTACTATTTTTATTATTTAATGAAACGATCTATCTTTTGTAGTTCTATTACTATTACTATGATAATTTTTCTCATCATAATCTTAGCTTAGTTATAACAGACTTACTGTGACACTGGGGTGTATCTTTCAGGTTATAATTTTCAGGGTAAATACCCGGACCTTCCGACTTAGCGAAAATGCCGACACCATGAGATTTACCCAAGCCACAAAATATTGATGATGACATATGTCTGGTCATCAGGCCAACAATGGTACATCCCTGGAAATAAAAATATACATTAATAATAGCTTTGATATAAATGTTGATAACTCATCAGTCGAAATCAATCATTATCCAACTTAAAGTAAGAGTGCTTTGCATTACTATAGCGATATCCTTTATTGCTTCTCACATTGGTCAAAACAAGATCACTAACAGTTGCTGTAGCAATGACAGCTACATAATTATAATTATTTTATATTACTTCTCACCTTGGACAAAGCCAGATCACTAACAGTTGTTGTAGCATCGATGGCTACACTGCAACCACTTGGTTTGCTTGTGTGACATCTTCCTGAATGATCGACCCATCGGTGTTTGAATCCTACACGTGTTTGATGCAGATGTACAGGAGGAGACGGTAGTAGGAACTGTAGCTGAAGATCAGGTGGCAAATGACTGTAAAAAAATCTTGCTATCAGCACATTTGAGATTTACAATACTAATAGGTTTTTGGTGCACAAAATAACAGTTTAATATAAAGAACAAATATAAAATATCAAGTCCGAATATGACTACAATGTGTTCTAGTTGTTATGGTATCATTACACCATATAACTGATAACAGCTGACAAAAGTTTGCCATTTAGCTTAATAATTACAATACATGTATGTTTCAGAAGAATCCGTACTTTTGATGAGCTTAAAGCAATCGCAAGGCATTCCAAAACTAATTGTATTTCTCAATGAAATTCAACATTTAAGAATGCACGTGCTTCCCTTGACTCCCGTGACAACGTCACAACAATGCATAGGAAGCTTGATATAACTCGTAATTTCATAGTTGTAGCATATTGATGTAATTATAAGAATTGAATAGTCTTTCTGTAATTTTATAGGGTTGTAAAAGCGTTGATCGTAGGCACATTTTTATTACACAAAATGTGCTTTTGTCAACGCTTTTACAACCCAATGAAATTACAAAAAGAAGTATTAAATTTTTAAGTAAACACTGTGACTATGACGAAGCGTACTTAAGTTTTTTTTTTATAAAGGACGGATCATGAAAGATCAGCGAACCAGTGCTTCGATAAAACGAAATGTTACCAAATTTAGGGAATTGATATCACACTTGAATTATACAAACCTTATCTCATCGTTCGATAGAGGAGGCGAAGAACTCTGAACCTCTGAAATGAAGGACAAACTTTATAAGAAATGAACTATAAACTTAGGAAACATGTAAAAATGTTACTATAAACGAATTTCCTCTTCGAAAGAAACTCAACTGAAACCGAACATGTTGTTTTCAATACTAGCACTGCAAAATTATCCATAAATGTGATGGTAGGAAATCTATAATGACAAATTGTATAAAATAAAAAAAAAAAAAAAAAAAGAAAACATTTAAGAAAGGATTTTTAAAAAAAATTAATTTGTTAATTTCGTATTAAGTATTACCTCTTATGTATGACTTTTCATAATCAGATATCCATCAAATCTGTAATTATTTATGAAATTTGGAATTTAGTCATGTCTAGACTGAATATAGACATGACCTCTCAGTTAGGTATTAAAAGAATATCATTAGCTCCTGCTTATCTACCCCCCCCCCCCCCCCCCCCCCCTTTTCCCCCGATTGTGATAGATTCCTAACAACAACATAAAGACTTATAACTCTATATATGTTTTGCATGTATTCAGTTTTGCCAAGAAAGCAACACAACAGTGTGTGACTATACCAAGTCAGGCGGTCTGAACCTTTGTTTTGCATTTTTGTTTGTCTTTGTTTGTACGTATATTTTTCGAGGAGTCGGTTGTTGGTTGATAGTGTGGCCTACTGTACCAATACTGTCCAATAATTTTGTTAATTCCTGTTATCATGCTAGCTTTTTATGTATTTTTTTTTAACATGTTCCTTATCATAACAGAAATGACCCAGTTCCATCGCAGAATTTTCAGATTTGTTTTGTTCCATTTAAATTCTAATACAAAAGACAAAAGATACTTAGAGGTCATTCAAAACTCATAAGTCGAAGAAAAACTCACAACGCCATGGGAAAAAAAAATCATAGAAAAAATTGAGGATTACGACAATCTGAGATTTCCAATATAATAGGGAAGAAATGATCTTGCATCATCGCTGACATATATTTGACCACATTATCATGCATCAATCAAAATTTAAAGCTTTTTGAATTATCTCCCTATCAACATTCCTATACATTTTGAATGCATTGATACTCTTACTTTCAGAGGAAGAACTTTGCAAATTAAACAATCAAAATCAATAATTGGCTCGATCGCAGAAACCGAATAAGATACTTCTTAATTACGGACCCCGTACATTAGAGCTGTAAGTTTGGTTCAACTTTGCCATGGACTTTCAGGGAAATATGAAATCAGATGTCTTGTAGGTTTGATTGAACCTATGTGGTATAATTTCCACATGTAAACCACATAAACAGTAGTAATGGGGATCTTTATGGTATAGAACCACTAATTCGGGTCCGGTAGTGGAGAAGACACAAGTCTTAGAAAGAAGTCCTTATATAAACAAAAAAGTTCCGACGCTAAGCTGTAACTTTTTCAAAAAGTAAAACATATAGGCAATTTTGGTATCAAATGAAAACTTTGGATCACTGTAGAACCCTTGTTGAAAGATTTTCTTGAATAATTAAATAAATATCTGAAATGATGATAGGATGGCATATGTGCCCTGTTGATCAGATCAGGAGTACCTGTTTTTATACTACCCAACTTCCGACAACCAGTGCGCTCTAAAATGCAATCAAAGGTATGTTGAGTTTTTCAGCACAAGTCAGGTGTGGTTTTACTATGAAATGACAGCCACTTTATTTGAACTTGAGACAAAATATCTATATAGACCAAATCAGGATTCCAGTAAACTTTGAAAACAACTAACCTTTCAGAGAAGAGTAAGTTTGAAAATTAACTAATCGGATTCAATCATAGCATCTATGCGAATTGCTTTATTATGAACCTTGAGAAACACTTTCCCGGTAAATGTAATCTAATTTGGCTTCACATTTTCAAATGAGGTAACAAAAAATCTAAACTTTATCGGTAATGAACGATAGGTGCCAAGTGATGGTAATGTCTCGAGTTAAACAGAGAATGTGTTGAATGTTATTGAGACGGCAATGGAAAAGTTTGAAAAAAACAATTTATCAAAGATACAAAACTTTTACTCTTCTGCAAATAAAGTTTATTTTATAGGTATTCAGTGATGAACAAAGTTCCAATAATCATCTGGTTGCTAACAATATTTAATGATTTTTACGGAAAATAAAAGCTACACAGAGTGTTAAATGTCCGCGTACAAGTTGCTTTCTTTAAAAAAAGAAATGCAATCGTAAACCCAAATCCTTGTTGGGCATTAAATATTAGATTTTTTTTTTAGATAAGAGTTAGTTTCTAGGCTTATGTTCAAATACAAATGTGAAGAAATTTAATCAATTAATGATTATTTGTGCTTAAAAAAAGAAATGCAATACGTGAACCTTAATAGCTGTTTTTATTGGAATTTGAGATATGTTCATGGTTATTTGAACAATGGCTTGATATTATTCATTATGAAGATCCTTACACCTGCTCTGCAAGGTTTTTGTGATGCTTAGGGTAGTAAGCATTGGCAATTTTAAGTTGTGTGCTTTGTGCTCTTAAAAGTTTTAGATGACAAACCTCTTTTTTTAAAAACAAAAACTTTTTAAAACCTTTAACTCGATTTGAAGATATTTTTTGAATGTCCCTTTTTATTTTGATGTTTTCTTATATTTTAAATTGTGGGTCATGAAAAAAGGCCTGCAAGTTTAATTGTAAATATATATAATTTGAATTGCACTGTATTCTCTTCACCTTGATGACCAAAACGAATTCATTAAGAAAGCTATTTACAGCCTAAACAAAACAGCTTACACCTTGTACTTATAAATAAACAAACTAAATTGAAAACAACAAAACAACTAACATAATCAAACCTGAAATTATCACTGAATACCCATTTCTAAACATTAGTTTGTTTAAAGGCCACAGTTATGAACTGTTGTAAGGTGTTCCTTTTTTTATTTGAACACGTTTTTTCATTAACTTTTAAAGGGTGTCTTTTACATGGTAAAGTTACACTACTGTCTTATGGTATGTATGCAAATTCTTTTAAAACATGTGTATTCCGATAAGCACATGTCCCAAGTCAGAAGCATGTTGTTTAGTGGATTTTTTTTTTGGTGCAGTTCATATTTGCTTTTTGTTTCTGGTTTGAAGTTAAATTAGATTTGATTTTTCCTGTTCGAATTGTTGTATAACAGTGTCTTGGGGCCCCTAGTAGGATGCAGTTAAAAAAAAATGAATTAGCCTGCTTTGTACATCAAGTACATCTTCCCTAGACTGAAAATCTTAAATGAAATGCTAGTAATACTTCTTTTATAGATTTTAGTTTTAACGATTTTGAACGTTTGGAACGAGATGGATGCAGTTCAATGTGAGCCAAGCCTTTGTGTTGAAGGCTGTATTATAACCTATAATTGCTTACTTTGACTACACTGTGTCTTGATGGAGAGTTGTCTCATTGGTATTCCTACCACATTTAAAACAGATATTCCCTCTGACATTTGACAAATCCATAAGAATAATCTAAATATTGAAATGGAACTGAAGTTGCCTTGTAAGTTTCTTATATTGACCTATCCTTTTTTAGTTTTATACCAGAGACATATAATACAAAATTGTATTTGACGAACATTTTGAAGAGTCTTAATTACTACAGGTTAGATAATCTGTTCCCTGGCCCAGATAACAATAAATAGAAATTATTTTTTCTTATCTCTGCCTGCATCTGTCATCACTCGATGTCTATAAATAGACATTTGATATCTTATCGCTGACCCTGTTAAGTCTGCTGAAATTGTTTTGCATGATTAATTTTAAGGTTATCGATCGTAATTAAAGCGGCACATTTAATTCGTTATTTCATTGCTTGAAGTATTATTTATTTCATCTGCATGGTCAAATGTATTTTTTTTTAAATATATT